CGATCTCTCTCTCATTCACTGTCTGTTTAGGCGTGTTAAGTGAAAATCTACGGAGCCTCTGTACAAATCAGCATGGTACACATTATGTTATAATTACTAACTTGTTTAATATTCAGTCCACATGCATGAAGTGTAAAACGAGAAGGGCATAACCTTACGAAAAAAGAAAACACGCAAATATCGCGGTTGCTGCGGGTTCTTGCATTCCTCTGCGGTTTGCTCGTCAATAGCGCGGTATTACGATATTGCGGTTATCGCGACAGCCCTATGGAGAATTGACAAACAACAAGCGCTACTCTACACTGCCCAAAACTCACGTTTGAATCGTCAGTGGCAAATTCTTTAAATATAAAAAACATACTTACATACATAGTCAGAACAGCCGGCATTGTAGTCTACTCTCCCAGGATCAGGAAACAGTCCTCCATAAAATGTGCTGCACACATCTGAATATTTGGGTTGAACTGTTCTGGAACAGTGTTGTAAATACAACTTAACCACTGATTTCTAGTCGTGTCCTCTTTTGGAAGGCCAAACAAAGTAGTTTCGCTTTCACAACGACACACAGCGTCTCCACGGCATGGTGGCAGCGGCAATAACAATACTACAGCGAGAATAAAAGTTACGCCTTCAACATTTGGGCGGCGTTATGCAAATCTTCTCACATCGTGACGTAGGTATGTGGGGGCGTGTTAGAATGAGCCGTTTTAGGTAGGCGTGGTTGACTCTTAACTTTTATAAAGAATATCTCTTTGGATTTGAGACTTTAGTCTTTGCAACTTTACAGATCTTCTTTATGCACCAACAGCTTGTAACACTTCAAAGAGAAAGGAAAAATTGAAATCACGTCATATGACCCCTTTAATCACAAGTGATTAATATATCACAATCTGATGCATGGTGTCCATAAGATTGTCAGGATCATGGACCTGTTTTGTTGTGTTTTGCCCCGGTTTCTGTTCCTGTGTTCCCTTATTTGGTCATGTTCCTGTCCTCGTTTAGTTTAATTAGTCATTCAGTGCACCTGTGTTTGTTAATTATCCCTAGCATTTAAGTTCTTGTCCGTGCATTTCTCCTCTGTTGGGTCTATTTGTTGTGAACGTGTGTTTGCGCCAGTGCCCATTGTGTGGATTTCCCCTGTGTTCCTTGGATTAAAGACGTTTACGTTTCCTCGTGCCTCCTGCATGCTTCCATAACAGCTTAGTGTGACAAAGAGACCAAAGACTTCAGATAAAACTTAAAAATCCTACCGACCCCAAACTTTTGAACTGGTTTAAAGTGTCTAAATATATTCTGTAAAGCAAGTTTGTGCCCTAACTACATTCCTCAACTGTAAATCTGATATTACTCTCATATTATTTACTACATACAATGTATTGCTTCAATCATGCATCAGCCAGTGATTCAGTATTATACTCTTTACAGCATTCATTGTTGCATACTGTTTTGTATATTGTTTTTAAAGTTTTATATATATATATATATATATATATATATATATATATATATATATATATATTAGAATAGCATAGCATAGTATCTACTGATTTGATTATAATTCATTGTTATATATTTTTCTACCCATCAGTAATGTGGTTTGCATGTTTGCCACGGGGGAGGGTATTCTGACCCAGGAAGATAAGGTCACACCCATTGGTTTGCAGGAAGTGTTTGCCACTAATCTTTTTGGTCATTTCCTTCTGGTAAGTTGATGGATTAGAAATAACGAATGTGTTTCTATGACCACACATAAAAAGAAACAAAACTTAATAAATTAGTGTTTTTTACCGTTATTTCTATACTGTTATAGCTGAGGTAAAAACATATTACATTTTGACAGTATTTCTGTCTTTTTCATGCAACTCCATCAAAAAATCATCTTCCTCAAAAAGATCTCCTAGAACAGTATTTCACACATAAATGCCACAGGATTAATTTCACTGTTGTCAACAACTTGTTCCCTGGCAGCTGTCTCGATCAATAATTCATCTGAAAGTCTGTAGTGCTGAAGTTATTTTGAGTCCTCAAATTGCAGCTTTGTGCTTCTTTGTAAAGTGTTGCTGATTGCTAATTGAAGAACTCATTCCTTTGCACGAAGGCATTTGGTCATCAGTGCTGGAAGTCGGGCAGCAGTTCTTTCCTCATGCTTCTTTATGCAGTCGTGTTATTGTGGCTCAAGTGGCTCCGACATTAAAGTTGCAGTAGATATGGCACTCCATGTCCTCGAAGGCCAGACAAGACTTATTGATTTTCTGTTTGGACTGCACTTTCTATTCAAGTTGTCCTCTTTTTCTCTCTCACACCACACACTTAAATTCTTATTAAAGGGGTCATATGATGTTGCTAAAAAGAACATTATTTGGTGTAATGAAATGTGTTTATGCGGTTTAAAGTTAAAAAAACACATTCTTTTCCTCATAATGTACATTATTGTTTCTCCTCTATGCCCTGCCTTTTTGAAACGCGTCGATTTTTACAAAGCTCATCGGTCTCAAAAAGCGAGGTGTGCTGTGATTAGCCAGCTGTCCAATGCGTTGTGATTGGCCGAATACCTCAAGTGTGAGACGGAAATGTTACGCCCCTTACCATACTGTTAATGTTGTGTCCCGGCCGGAGCGACGAGACAAAAACATTAAAACCCATTCCAAACAAGGATCTGCAGACATCTGGATATTTGGGTTAAACTGTTCTGGAACAGTGTTGTAAATACAACTTAACCACTGATTTGTAGTCGTGTCCTCTTTTGGAAGACCAAACAAAGAAGTTTCGCTTTCACGATGAAACACACAGCGTGAGTGGGCACACAGGGCTTGAGTGAGCGGTGGCCGGCAGGCTAGAGAACAGCACGGCCGGCGGATTTGATGAAGGAGTGGCCGGAGGGCTTGCGGCAACCACTTGTGACGACCCCGGGCTGGACTCTGCTTCGTCCACGGTGAAAGCCGATCTGGCGATCCACAGCACGAAGTTGATGTATGTCCTCAGCGACCAGCACAGAGCAGCTCTAGGCATGACAAAGCAGATATTGTCCTCTTTTGGAAGGCCAAACAAAGTAGTTTCGCTTTCACAACGAAACATAAAAAATATCTCTTTGGTTTTGAGACTTTAGTCTTTGCAACTTCAGGGATCTTATCTATGCACCAACAGCTTGTAACACTCCAAAGAGAAAGGAAAAATTGAAATTGCATCATATGACCCCTTTAAAATTTAAGATTTTTTTTTTTTTTTTTGGAACGTACCACTTTTTTAGCATTTTTAGCAAATTTGCATTAAATTGATAAAAATATGTAAAGATATTTATAATGCTACAGAAGAATAAATGTTCAGAAAATTCAATATTTTGAACTGTCTATGCATCAAAGAATCCAGAAAAAAACATTTTCAGTTTCCAAAATAAATAAATGCATAAGCGACACAACTGTTTTCAACATTGATAATAAAATTAAATGTTTCTTGAGCTCCAAATCAGAATATTAGAATGATTTCTGAAGAATCATGTGACTGTCTGAAGTAATTGCTGCTGAAAATTCAGCCTGATATAAATTACATTTTAAAATACATTAATACAGGAAACAGTTATTTTAAATTGTGATGAATTTCACAAATTTTTTTTTTTTTCAGTTTTTACTCTGTTTTTTATTAAACACAGCCTTGGTGAGCATAAGAAACTTCTTTAAAAAACATTTAAAAAACTTACCAACCCCAATTTTTTGAATGATAATTTATCTATTCATAATTTATATCTATATTTTTAGCCAGTTTAATTTGTTACTATGTTCCCAGAGTGTTGTTCCTTGTTGTGTTGTTTAGGGCAAAGTCTTTTTTTATGGCTCAACTAATAGTGATAGTTTAGGGCAGGATTACCAGAGTAGCCAAACAATGGAAGGCGGAAACAGTATTTTTGTAATTCTTTTTAGCACTTTAAATGGTGCAGAAATTAGGCAGTGTAATACCGGATCCAACTGCATTGTTTGCTTCTGTGATAGGTAAAGGAACTGGAGCACTTACTGTGTCAGATGGACCACAATTCTCTAGTGATTTGGACATCCTCCAGTAATGCCCAGCGATCAGCTTTTAGTCTAGATGACATACAGCATCAGAAAAGCCGTGAGCCTTACAGCTCCTCGAAATATGCGTCTGATCTACTTAGTTTAGCCCTAAACCGTCACTACAACAACCAGGTAAGTTCACAGTTTCCTACAGAAAATGGTAATAACTGCATGAATTGTTTTATACCATAATTATTATGATTATCATAATTGTGAATTAGCCATGAATACTAGTCATCTGTTCACAGGGTTTGTACTCATCAGTGATCTGTCCTGGTGTTTTTTTTCACAGTTTTAACTCTATTTTTTATTAAACACAGCCTTGGTGAGCATAAGAAACTTCTTTAAAAAACATTTAAAAAACTTACCAACCCCAATTTTTTTGAATGATAATTTATCTATTCATAATTTATATATATATTTTTAGCCAGTTTAATTTGTTACTATGTTCCCAGAGTGTTGTTCCTTGTTGTGTTGTTTAGGGCAAAGTCTTTTTTTATGGCTCAACTAATAGTGATAGTTTAGGGCAGGATTAACAGAGTAGTCAAACAATGGAAGGCGGAAACAGTATTTCTGTAATTCTTTTTAGCACTTTAAATGGTGCAGAAATTAGGCAGTGTAATACCGGATCCAACTGCATTGTTTGCTTCTGTGATAGGTAAAGGAACTGGAGCACTTACTGTGTCAGATGGACCACAATTCTCTAGTGATCTAGACATCCTCCAGTAATGCCCAGCGATCAGCTTTTAGTCTAGATGACATACAGCATCAGAAAAGCCGTGAGCCTTACAGCTCCTCGAAATATGCGTCTGATCTACTTAGTTTAGCCCTAAACCGTCACATCATCAGTCTCTCTCTATTTTAGTCTATTTTAAGTCTTTTTTTGAAATCTCCCAGTCACTTCTATAGAAGCTATAGAACTCAACTACGACGACTTCCGCTGCCAAGAAATCCGGAAATGTGAAAGATATTTTTATCCAGATTTACATTGCATTTAAGGTAATCGAACCTATGACACTGGCTTTGCTATCACCATGATCTACTGTTTGAGCTACTTATAATTATTGTGCAATTTATATTAGTTTTGTTGCAGTGCATTCCAAGGTGAATGGTTTTTACCAAATAATTACTGCGAACATGGGACCACAAATCTGTCATGTATATTTTAGCTGTTTTTCATGTCCATTTTATTATGTCCCCAAATGGGCTTCTTCCAAAATGTTTTGATTCATAAGAAAAAACTAGTATAAAACTAGCTGAGGGAACTGGGTCCAAATCAGCACACGCTATGAAGAGGGACAGTGAATCTGCTCATGCAGTGAATAATAGTGTACCTGTACATTTTATGATGAATAATTCACCTAAAAAGTATAAACTGTTAAGTGTTTAAGATCTCAGTTCAACTTTACTTTGACAGTCTTTTACAGACCTGTTCCTCTTCCTACAAAAAAAACCTGTCATTCATCTGATACACAGTACATATGTGACAGATCCATGTGCAACTGAGACTTTCTTTTACAGTCTATTTTTTTTCTGTTAGCTCTTAAAGGACAAAGCAAATGCAGAAAAGTAATATGAAGTGCCGTTGTAACAATTTATTCAACTACATAGCATTAATGTATATATCAGAAACTAATTTTCTGGATGAGAGCTGGCAATGTAGAGAGATTGCAGATATTGATGGGTCGCCATGGTGAAGATCATAAAGATGCACTTCCCTGTGTTAATAAAGAAATGTTAATGCTGAAACCAACTTGACTTTGTATGTTTTGCAAGTAAGTTTAAGTTTAGAGATTTCTGAGCACATTAATACGACGACAGACTTGTCAATCTTACCTTTGTTTTAAGCTGGAGTCCTCCGGTTACTGTGCGCGGGAAGATGTTCGGGTGAATTACTACGAATAACTAATGAAGCTGGAGCATATTTGGTGTTGTTTTATTTATACTTCACAATATTAATCCACAATGTAGGATGAAGCGATGTTAGTGTGTGTCGGTTGATCCAGACATTCGGCTTTGGTTAAATGTCGTGTATGTGCCGGCTGGGTTGTTTCCACATCTTCAGGAGCCGCAAAGATTTGTTGCAGAGGGACTTGTGAAAAACTGCTCGTGTCGCACTCTGTTTCTTCAGCAAAGCCACTGAGTTTAGGGTTGCAGAATGCCCAAACCATGCCGCAAAAGTACACAAAAAACGCTGACATCACCAAAAACATGAGCGCATAAGACTCAATCATCGCCTCCGTCACCACATTCGGCATCCTCGCGCGCGGAACAACGCTTTCTAGCTACATTAACCGTGAATTGAAGTCAAAGTCGATTTAGCTGAATGTCCATGAATCACAGTCGTCTTCAGTCCTCTGCACCTGTGCGCTTGGGCATCACAATTGCTCCTGCCCTCATTAACACTTCAAGTTCCGCACTTCCCTATGAAGCTTTGTCAATATTTAGAAAAAAAGAAATGTCTGGGACCAGAATTTTAACGGGAGGGCACTTTTGGCTCTGTAGAGCAAATTAACTGCTTTAAAACACTTTTCAAACTAGCTTGATTTGACCGCTAACAATAATATTAGGCATACTTCACTGTCATAAAATATGAACATAACAGTCTCAGTTCTCACAAATAATGTAGGCTATTGTGGTGGAAATGATGGTGATTGGACATTTTTGGTATCTTATCAGTTGTTTTGCTTGCTATAAGGATGATTTCATAGCTAAAGTAATGCAATTAAATAACTTTTTTATACTTTTTGAATATCTTGCATGACACACAATAAATTAGTCTGCTCACAAGTGATAATTACTTTGTTTTTCCCCCTCACATCAGGGGTTATTAGAGACCAATTGTTTATTATTGATTTTTGGTCTGTGTTCCATTATTTCTGTCAAACCGAATCATTTTCAGGAGGTTTGTTCACGCTTATTCACAATTTACCGCACTAAAAGATTAATCACACCAATGTTTTCATCGAACTAAGCCTGCCAAGTGTGAACACACCCTTACACAACCAAACCTGTATGACTTCTGTGTAAAAGAAGAATTCTAAGAAATTTCTCAAGATTTTCCCCCCATACAAGGGAAGTCAATAGTAGCCAAAACTGTTTATGACATAAGGGTGAGTAAATGATGACAGAATTTTTTAGTTTTGGGTGAACTACCCTTTTAAGATGAACAGTCTGAGTCTGGGAAAAGGGTAAAACAATAAAAATGCATAGGCTACATAAAATCATTTGAATGTAGTAAATAAAAGATGAAAATGATCAAAAAAAGTGTACGAGATCATTTTTATGTGATCATATAATGACATTGTTCACCTGGTAGACAAATTCTATAACAATAACATCATCAATCCTACTTTAGCCTACCCTATTCACACATTTCTGTAGCTCTATAAATAAACTGCCAAGAGAATTCAAGCTTTGCATCTATTACTTAACTTGTGACCTGACACATTTTCTTCTCAAAGACTGCTGAATGATTGCTTTGATGGGGTTACTCAGAATCCAAAGCTATTTCAAGCTTTTTAGAAGACCAGTCATGGGGTCATATGACCTGACTCAGTGTCCCTCAGGGGCCGCAAGGGGTATTAGGGGGTCTGTGTTAAATCTATGCGTAAAACACTTTTTTTTACACCAAGTAAAAAACAAACAAAAAAAACCGTTTTCCTCTTCTATTTTAAGTTAATTTTTTTTGACAGCTAGGCTTAGCTATTGCTTTGACAAAAAACATATTTCGATTTATAGATGTTTACATAATCTTCTACAATAGTAGATCATTTTAATACAATGACAATACAAAAGCCAATCCAGCAAATAACAATATTTGGTCTTCTCTCTCTCTTTCTGGAGTATGTTGTGCGACTACATGTACCACAAGTCTTTGCGGTCAGAGTCCCGGATGTCTTTACGCCGGAAGAGAAGCGTGAGTCTGTTCCAGCCATCTTGTGGCATCTAGCAGCGAAGTGTTCGCTCAGGCCCCGTAGAATCGGAGGAGAATCCTGCTGAAAGGGGGCCATCATGCCCGGATATCTGCAAGAAGGTTTCGGCTGTGTCGTAACCAATCGGTTCGACCAGCTATTTGATGATGAAGAGGATCCGTTTGAGGTTTTGAAGCAGGCAGAAAAGAAGAAGGACGCGACTGCTCCTGGTGCCACCAAGACCGCCGCGCAGGCTACAAAGCAGACCAAAAAGGAGTCACAGAAAGAAAGAAGAAACCCAGTTTCCGAGAAGAAGGAAGAGACACAAGCTCCCGTTCCTCTTAAGAAAGAAGGTAAATATCGCTTGCATTAAACTCGTAATTTGGTCACACTTTTCCTAAGTGAGCAGTCTGCAAAAGACGCGACTAAAGCCCATGAGGTCACGCATACCACTATTGTTGATGAGCTGCCTGACATCTCATGAACTTTCAGCAAAAATGCTTTTTCGCGGTATAACGTTACATTGTTTCTATGTGACGCACGCAGTAGAACTTGTTGCTATCTCGTTATTTTTTTACATTCATCATGAACTGCAGGCCTATTGATAACCATCGGTTTGTTTGTTAAATGTCTGGTATATTTGTGCATATAACTCTACATGCTAGTAAAAAATCTCTCATTCAGTACTAAAAAGAACTGCTTATTGATAGTCTCCGAATGTGCAGTCCGTTATCGCTTGGCTTTTGATTAAAGCTCGAGCAGTGCAGCTGCAGCCTCGTGTTTGAGGCAGCAGAGTCGGTCCTCTCAGTCACGACACTCCCATTGAAAAGCATCCTATTGTGATTTTCTTGACGCCGGTTTTTAACTTCATTGCGTGCTTTAAAATTGCGCCAGCCTGAACAGTGCTGAAGGTAGGGTTGTCAGTTTTTTTTCTTCGGGTGTCAGTGGCCCTGACTGATCAGGATAAGAGGAGGCAGCGGGCTCGTGAACAGGTGCGCGCGCGGGACGACGGGCGCGTGATCAGCTGTTGGGGCGCGCGAGAGCGTCTATTTCGGTAACTAGGCGGAGGGTGGGATCAGTCAAGAGGCGCAAACCATTATTATCGAGACCCACAACGCGGAGAGTATTGCTTTGCTAGTGTGAAAACTAAGAAAAACACAGACGTCCTCTGCAAGTAAATAAGAAAAACACGCAATTTTAAGCAGTTAAACTAAAGAAGTAACGTTAATAGCGTAATAATGTGTATTTACTTCGTTCTTCCCTTTCAGAGAATTTTGGTATTGTCCACTTTTTAAATTTAAAGGATAGTTTGCCAGAAATTAAGTTTATTAACATCCTTATGTTGTTTTAAACCTTTATGAGATACAGACAATGTTTTGCATAATGACATTCACGTGTTTTTTTTAATATCTTGTTTTAATAAAAGTGATTGGTGATAGATGCTGTAATTTAGCCTTTAGAGTTACACTAATGAAATGAGTTACATGGTTTTGGAACAATTTTGAGGGTGAGTGAATAATGACTATTTTTGTACTTGTTAATAAGTACATTAATTGAAGTGAATTTTATAATTTAGATTAAGACAACACCTTTTGTTTTAGCGTTTAAAAAAAAAAATCTCATTCATCATTCTTTTCTATACAATCAACAATCTATACTTTGTTGGTATCAACAGAGTTGAATCATTTGTGTGTTTTGCAGGCATGAAGAAAATGGGCCGCCGGCCGGAGCAGCAGGGTCAGACAGGATCCCAGCAGCAGGGAGGTCAGGGGGAGGGTCGTCCACCAGCCGACAGGCGGCCTGACAGGAGGCCAC